CACAAGGGTGCCTGGGACATGCCGCGGCTTGTTGGTCTCCGGAGGGAGCCTTCCCATCCCCCTGGCCCATTGTTTTCTCATTACAGCTCCAGATTGGCAGTGGAGACCAGGATGGTCCAGCTCTGTCCCTCGCTTCCCTTTCCCTGTCTGGGTGGCTCCTGTCTGGGAGGAAAGCGGAGCACAGAACAGGGCTCCCTGGCACCCCGTCTCCCCGCTCTGGGCAGAGCCCCGTGCGCTGGTGCTGTGGTAGGCACGGGACCTCCCCGCCTCCAGGCTCTGGTGCCTGGAGCTCAGCGTGAGGCATCAGGCGCGCCTGCTTGTCAAAGGACCTTACGACTGATCCATGAGCACCCTGCCGCTGTCATTGTCCCCTCTCCCTGGCTCTGAGAGGCTCAGACACCTGCCAAAGTGGCTCAGCTGGTGTTTTGATCAAGCACTGCAGCTCCTCGAACTGCTCTCCTGCCTCTCAGTAGTAACAGAGGATAAGAATCATCCCCACCATGTATCAGGCTTGTGTGCCAGACTCGACATAGATTCTTTCGTTTGATCATTACTTATATCCCAAAGTGTTATTCCCCACATCTTCCAGAGGAGGAGGCTGAGGGACAGTTTGAGCAACTTGCCCAAAGCCAAGATCTAGTAAGCGAGCACTGATGTCGGTGACTGGGACACGGCGTTGCCATGCCACATGCTGGCGGGGGAGTGAATGAGCCGTGCTCTGACTGCACGAGTGTTCTGTGGCCCTGCAGAGGAGCCCTCAGGGCCACTCCCCGTCTCCTGGCCATCTGGAGGGGGAGCTGTCAATGGGCAGAGGGGAGCAGGGGAGGGAACAGTGTTCAGGACAGAAGGAACAGCACTGCGGAGGCCTGAGAGTCAGAGGAGTGTGGGGCCGCTGGGGCAGTGTGGTGAGAGTCACCTGTGGATAAGATGTGGTCCTGTCGTGCGGCTAGAGGGCCAGGGTCTCTGTGTTGGGGCTGAAGGGCTGCAGGGGGAGTTTAAGCAGGACAGCAGTGTAGCAGGTGGGGAGATTTAGGTGTCAGCTTCTGGTGCTACGTGGAGAAGCACCCAAGCCAGAGCAAGGACACAGCCTTAGGGATGCCACCTGTAAGCAGATGTCGTGTAGCACTTATGCTGTACAAGTTCACATACACAGTAGGTAGCTGCCCATTAGGTGCCTTCCTCTTGACATACCCACTCAACAGGAAGATTCGGGGGTGGAGATGGAGAGCAGAGGGCTGCTCCAAGGCGTGGTTAAGTAGCTTCCATCCTAAGGATGACGGCTGACACTGCCGTAACATTTCATGCGCCAGTTCTATGCGCAGCGAACCCTCATTCATCTCCCTCACTGCAGTGCTATGAGACAGTGCTATCCTTGTGGCCTGTTTTGCCAATGGGGAAACCAAGGCACAGCAGCCCCTCAGCTGGTGGAGCCTGGGTGGGAGATGAGCAGGACTCACGGGACGTGGGGTGCCTGCACAGGGTTGTGAACTTGCTGCTGTCCCTGGAGCCAGGTCCTGTGCTGTCTGACCTAAAGTCCAGCCCAAAGGCAGTGCCCACGTGGCAGGTCGGCAAACTGAGGCCCAGCCCGTCAGGAGAGGACTGAGGAGTGGGCACAGGCTGAAATCCTCGCCCCGATGCTCCTTGGCTGTGTGACCCTAGGCAGGTGGCCTCTGGCTCTGAGTTTCGGGTCACTTGGCTGTGTAGCAGGCCTCCTTCCTCCCCGGCTGATGAGCGCAGCTGAGAAGTGTCTGCCCAGCTCCTGGGGAGCAGAGCCTGGTGCCCTGAGTGCAAAGGAGCCCGGCACATTAGCAGCCAAGCTAGGGTGGGGGAGCCCCGTGGGAGTCCAGGCTCCCCTTCCCCTCCCCACCGTCTTAGGCCAGGGGCCTGCTTGGCACCAGGCCGGGAGCCCACGCGCCACAGCCTGCACCGCAGCAGATGGCCAGGGGGTGGGGAGAGTTTTGCTTCTGTGATTCACACACAGGGGGCTGCACATGCTCTGGAGCCCACCTCCTCCCTGCCCTTCCTGGCCACGCGGCGTGGGGCAGGTGCTGTGACAGGAGGACAGCTTGCTCACCTCCCCCAGCCGGCGCATGTTCTGTGTTCTCCTCGAAGGAAGCAGCATGGTGTAAATATCCTGCACATCCTGTCCCTCCTGGCAGAGCTCCTTCCCTTAGCTAGAGAGGAGATGTGCTCCGAGGGTGCCGGACAGTTCAGAAAGACCTCTGCCTCAGTTTCCCCAGCTGTGTCCTCAGAGTATTAGTGTGAATGAGAGGCTGTGAAGGTTCATGGGAAGTGCCAAGGGCAGCCCTGGCCCATGGTGCCATTCAGGATGTGGCCCTCTGCTGTGCCTGGCACAGGGGAGTGTGGGCACTGAGGCAGATCAGTGCTGGGGGCCGGGCAGGAGGCAGTGCGCGCCTCCCTGGAAGTCCAGTGAGCTCCAGTGCAGTTGGGAGCTGGCCCTGTCCCCTCACAGGCCAACGATGATCTAGTGGAAGCTCTGGGGGCAGTGAGCTCCCCGTCAGCTCCTGTGATCAGACCTCATGGTTTGCAGGATGTTTCTCTATTCCTTCCTCTCATTTTTCCATCTGTCCCTCCATCTGTCCTGGGGATGGACAAAGACAGGCTTTGTGCCTCCATTTTACAGGAGAGGAAACTGAGGCTCTGGGGTTAGTCTACACCAGAGCCAAGATTTGCAGGCATGTTGGGGTGAGTATGAGCCTTCAGGATAGCAAGGATCAGTGTAAAGAGGGGATGGGATGTGCTAAGTCGCTCCTGTATCCACCCTTATACCTCCTCCTTGGGCTTCACCCCAGCCTGGGGGAGGGGACAGGCAGACATCTGGAAGGGTGGGCAGCTGTGACCTTTTACATGGCGTGTGTTGGGGATAAAGGTGGCTCAAGTCCTTCTCCATGGAGTCCCTTCTAGAGCTAGGCTTGGTGACTTCATCCTGGTGACCCATTTCACAGGGCAGAGAGAGGAGGCTGATCCTCCGTCCTCCCCCCATTGCCACCAGCTGGAGAGATGGGGGCTGGGCCTGAGCTGGTACCAGAGCCCTGGCCGTCTGAGGCAGCCTCACCTCTCCTATGGGAGCGGTGAAGCCCAGCCACCAATGGAATCCTCTGTGCTGCCGGCTCCTGTGACCATGGGTGACTTTCACCCATTTCCCTGCCTGTGAAATGGGGACATTGGGGACCTACATCACCAATGTGTTATAAAAAAAAATCCAGTGAGTGAACACATGGAGTCAGAGTCACATGGAGTCAGAGTCACATGGAACACATAAAAAAAAAATCCAGTGAGTCCCGCTAAGGACTTCCCACCTCACCTGTGCTCCTGAAGCCGTCTGTGGACGCTGCTGTGGCCGGGCTGTGGCCGGGCTGTGGCCGGGCTGTGGCCGGGCTGTGGGCGGGGCCCTTCCCCACATGTCTTCAGTCATCCTACCCAGGACCCGCAAGCTGGGCGTCCTGGGGCCCCTCTTTATGGATGAAGAACAGTGAAACCATGTGTTCTTGGGGTGCCGTGGTAGAGCTGAGTGTCGCTCTCTAACTCGTAAGCATGAGGTCCTGTCATTGGTCACAGATGGCAGCTCCCACCGGCACTTCCCCTTGTCTCCTGACTAGGGAACAGGCTAAGACACGAGAAGGGATGTGCCCCATGTCACCCAGAAAAGGGCCTTCAAGGCCAGAGTGGGCTCACTCGAGGCTAAGACAGCCTTCTGTACTTGTCCTAAGCTGCAGCCCAGCGCATCGCAACTCAGAGCACTCAGGAAGTGCTGGGTTCTTGGCTTCCTGTTTTGCCTTCCACTGTGTCGTCAGCACCAGGGACAGCGCCAGGCACATAGCGGTTGGTAGGGGCATACTTGCTCCGAGAATGAACTGGAGGATTCGGAGCAGGACCCTGGGCCAGGCTGAGCAGGAATTGCCCAGGCCCCAGGAGAGAGTGGACGTGGCTTATCAGTGGGGACTTCCGACCACAGAGGAAGTTGGGCTGATGATGAACGCTTATAATTTGATTCCCAGAAGCTCATTGAATTATTAATCTTCTACGGATGTTTCTGTGACATAGCCACCAGAGACTGGGCCCTCTAAAAGTTGAACCCTGTGGCCTCATCTGCCTTCCTGTGCCCCACGAGAGAAGGAAGGCGGGCCCCTAGCTCCTGCCTCAGGACTCCTAACTGCAGGGTTCCTGAGACAGGACAAGAAGGGACCCCTGACCTCACCCTGGGCTGCATGGGATGTCAGAGTGCAAGCTGGACCACTCTGCCCTAGACAGTAGTTGCAGTGAGCGAGCTCTGTTTATTGGCACTTGCCACTTAATCCTCCCCACAGCCCTTCCAAATAGATGCAGTGTTCTCATGAGGAAATAAATTCAGAGAGATCAAGGGACTTTCCCTAGGGTCCTACGACAGATTGGTGCCCAAGCTGGATCTGAGCCCTGAGGTGTCTGACTCCAGAGTGTGGGATCTTACCCTGAAAAGGCCTTGACACCAGAGTCCTGTCCTTGAAGACCCTGGCTTGTGCCTCTGGATCTGTCTGGGTTGGCAAGACCAACCACAGCCACAAAAGTATTCCCTGAGGCCACAAACACAGCAGCTCTTTTCCTGGGCCTGGAGGTCACAGCCGCAGATCTGGCCCTGTCCTCCAGGATGTCCTGGGCTAGGTAGGGGAGTGGGGTATAGGGTGGCAGTAGAGAGGCAACCGGGCTCCCAGCAGGGCTCCCAGTGGCTCTGAAAGCTGCTGTCCATGCTCTTCTTGCTGGAAGGCTGTGTCCTGATGGGCTGGTAAAAGGGTGACTCCTTTCTGCTCCTCTACTTCCCACAATTCTCTTGCCAGTGCACTGCCAGGCTTGGTTGTCTGCCGTTGTATTCCGGTCCCCATTTTGCATATGGAGACTAAGGCTGCCTGCAGTTACTTTGCCAGGTGGTGGCATCTCAGAGCCCGGTGCCTTTCCTCACTTATCCCGGGACCTCACACATCCCTCCTTCTCTGCCCTGTGAGCAGCAGGAACTCCCAGCCCGTGTGAACCTCTCAGCGGCCCCGGCTCCAGCGCCCGCAGTACCCACCGCCCTGCACTCCAAGATGGACGAACTGGAGGGGCAGCTGCTGGCCAAGGTGCTGGCGCTGGAGAAGGAGCGCGTGGCCCTCAGTCATAGCAGCCACCGGCAGCGCCAGGAGGTGGAGAAGGAGCTGGATGCCCTGCAGGGCCGTGTAGCCGAGCTGGAACATGGTGGGTCTCACAGAGAGGGCAGCGCGGATGAGGCCTCGGTCTGAGGGAGGTCCTGGGGTGATAGAGCCACTTGGCAGCATGTCGGTGCTCTCCAGAGGCCAAGGCTGGATGGGAACACAAGAAGGAGAGGATAATATTATCATCCTCAAAGTGATCATTAACAATTTCTGATAGTACCCTGTCCTCAGGGAGAGCTAAGTGCTGGACACCCCTGCTGATTTCTTCTTCCCAAACTGTACAGGGCTTTTCACAAGCAAGGAAACTGAGGTTCAGAGAGGCCACATGATTTTCCCAAGGTCACAGTAGTGTAGGATCTAGGCCTCAAACCAGGTCTAGACTCCACGGTCATGAATTTAATCACCCACAAACACTACCTTCAGTGAATTGGATTTTGTCATTTGTTTGACACCTAAGCCTGGTATTGCCAGGGGGACAGAGAAGCCTAATGGACATTGTGCAGGCATGGACATCAGGAATCCTGGCTGCAGGTTCCAGATCTGCAGGTGGTTTTGTTCAAATCCCAGCTTTACCATCCACGAGCTGTGTGGCCTTAAGAAAATAAGTTAACTTCTCTGTGTCATGATGTTCTCATATGTAAACAAGGGTTGTTTTGAGGAATGAAGTAATGTATGTAAAAATGCTTAAGATGATGCCCACGACATAGGAAGCAACAGAGAATGTCTGAGTAGGAAAGAACTCTAAATAATAATAATCATAGCTACCATTTGGTGAGCATTTACTATGGGCCAGGCCCTTTATGTGCTCTGCCCAATCTTCACACAACCCTGGGAGGAAGGAGATATTACCCCATTTCAGTGATGAAACTGAGGGGCTGGGAGTTTAGCTCAGCAGCACAGCGCCTGCCTGCAAGCACGAGGTCGTGAGTTCCATTCCTGGTGCCGGAAAAAAAAACAAAAAAAACAATGATGAAACTGAGGCTAGAGAGGTTAAGCTTAATTTTTTGAAAGTCACATGGCCAGGAAGTGGCACAGGTAGGATTTGAACTCAGACGTGGCAGATCCAGAAGCTTGGATTCTAGCCAGGACCCTGAGCACAGAGGCAGTGTAGAAAAGGGGGTGAAGGTGCCTGACACACATCGGGTGGCCAGGAACTGTTAGCCTTCCTTCCACGCTGGGCATTGACTGCTGACCCCACCATGCCCATCCCCAGGGTCCTCGGCCTACAGCCCCCCAGACGCCTTCAAGGTTGGCATCCCCATCCGAAACAACTACATGTATGCACGTGTGCGCAAGGCGATGCCTGAGCTCTATGCCTTCACTGCCTGCATGTGGCTGCGGTCCAGATCGGGTGGCACGGGCCAGGGCACCCCCTTCTCCTACTCGGTGCCGGGGCAGGCCAATGAGATCGTGCTGCTGGAGGCAGGTCATGAGCCCATGGAGCTGCTGATCAACGACAAGGTGGGTAGGGCTGGGGGGTGGGGATGGGCTCGCACTTCCAGGACCATCTGCACCAGCAGGGTCCCACACGTGGCCTGGCGCTTTCACTGTGCCACTCAGCAGCTGTGCCATACCTTAAGTGCCTGCTGTGTGCCAGGCTGGATTCTGAGAATACAGAGACAAGCCAGATGGGGGGCAGACTAAAGAGGGGCTTGTGTCTAGCAAAGGCTGGCAGCATTGTTGCCATTGTACAGAGGTCAAGGGACTTCCCAGAGACCCGGCTGAGGGGGCGGGGCTACAGATGCCCATGCCCAGTGCCCTGCTCATCCTCCTGGACAGAGACCAAAGAAGGAAGGGAGGTTCAAGGGCTCCTGGGGAGGAGGAGGAAATGCCGGTGGGCACCTCACCCCTGCACCCTGAGAGCCAACCCCCTTGCTCCTCCCCACTATGGAGAGAATAGTGCCAAGCTCAGGATGCCAGGTTCAAGTCCTGGTCCTGCACAGCACCCTCTGTGTGACCTAGTTATTTACTCACTGTGTGCCTCAGTTTCCTCATCTGTAAAACAGGAATGATGATACTCCTCACCTCTTAAGGGCTGGGGTGAGAAGTGCTACCCTTAAATGCAAGTAGAGGATTCTGAGCAAAGCCTAGCAGTTAGCAAGTTTCCTTAGATGTGGGCCATGTTGCTATGTGAGGCCCCGTGCTGAGAAGCACCTGCTCCTCTCCTACCCTCAACCTTCCTAACAACGGCAAGGGAAGCAGGTGCCTGCATTGTTCCCATTCTGCAGATGGAGAAGAGAGGCTCAGAGAGAGGCAGTGCTCCCTGGACACATAGCTGGTGAAGGGTTGAGGGTGCAATTCAGGATGTGGCTCTAGAAAACACCTCTCAGCCCCTCCTACTTCTCACACCCAGGGCTCCCGCCCCCTCGGCCTCCCCTGGCCCCGCTGGCAGGCAGGCCAAGGACAGGCCTACGGTGGGGAGGACAGTTGGCAGCAGCACAGCGATTGAAGGGGGAAGAAGGAAAGCGTCTTTTCCCCTCCTTCTCTCCCAAAGTTCCTCCCCTGCCTGCCGCAGTGCTTTGGCCTTGCAGGCATGGTGATCCTGTGAGACCCCTGCAGACAGCACCTGTCACCCCCTTCTAGGAGCAGCCAACAGGCACAGAGGGCCACGAGACGCCTTTCATGGGGGTGAGGGGAGAAGAGGAGGGATGAGCCAAGAGGCAGTAAATTTCCTCTGTGGCCCCTTAAGCTCTAACACTGGGGCAGCTGAACTCCATCCAGAGCCTGCTCCCTGCTGCCTTCACCACCCCCTGGTCCCTGTCCTTTGTCCTAGGCCTGCTCAAGGGACAGCCCGCCATGAGAAGGCTTTCAGCACCCTGGACAGGGCATGGCCCTAGGCTGCCCCCTGGTCTTGTTGGTCTAGCCGTGGAGTGGCCAGATTCCAGTGTCCTTCTGGGTGCTTCTGTGTCATGTCCCCTTCCTCTCAGCCGTCACACCTCCTGGGCCTCCCGGTGGTTCTGCACTGTTTATCTGACAGTGTTTTTCACGAAGTCCTCCCTCCTGTGCAGGCGTAGTTCCATTAAAGGCCAAGACCAGACCAGACTATATCCAGAACAGGCCCTGCACCAAGGAAGTCTAGGAGAATGCTTGTTAAATCGTGATCTCAGAGAACCAATGCCTCAAAGAAGCCCTTTGGGAGCACCAGATGCACAGCCAGCGAGTTCCTTTCATCTCACAGGCCAACCAATCCATTAGCATAGGCTTCGGGAGTGCTGTGATGAGAAAGAGCCTGGGCTGAATCAGGCTTGGATTGATTGGCCATGTCTGCCTTGGGTGGAGGAATAGGTGGTGGTTGTGTGTATGCCTTCCCTTGTCTGAGCCCTGCACTTTTCTGATGGTGAAACTGAGGCCCACAGTGGGAAAAACAGCCTCCCTCACGGTCACACAGGAGGTTGATGGCGGAACCAAGGTCAGAGACTGGTGCCTGAGCTCTATCTGAGACCCATTGTGTTGCTGTCAGTGCTTGCTGAGCCCTAGACATGCACTGAGATCTAGGGATCATGTACAAGCACTGCTGCCACCCTCAGAACTTTGTGTGCCTGGAGAACTAGACAGTTGCAGTGCCCTAGGGAAGCTGCTTGGGTAGGCTGGGAGGGAAGAGGAGTAAGGGGTCAGGGAAGAACTGGCTGGGGGAAAGGAGGGTCAGGACTTGGGTTGGTCCTTGGATGAAAGGCTCCCCACCTGCCCAATCCCCTGCTCCAGCCTCAAGCCTGTGGTCCCTTTGACCTGTGATTTGGTTACCTTTGTCCAGGTGGCCCAGCTGCCCATGAGCCTGAAAGACAACAGCTGGCACCACATCTGCATCACCTGGACCACAAGGGACGGCCTGTGGTCTGCCTACCAGGACGGGGAGCTGCGGGGTTCTGGGGAGAATCTGGCAGCCTGGCACCCCATCAAGCCTCATGGGATCCTTATTCTGGGCCAGGAGCAGGTAAGGCTCAGACCAGGGTTGGCTGAAGACCCAAGAGCTTATCCTGGCCTGGCAGGGAGCATGAGGAGAAGGGGTTGGGGAGGGAGAACCAGAAGACACAGTGGTGACCCTAAGTCTGACCCACCATTCAGCAGATGGGCACCCTGAGGGACAGGGAGAGCAGAGACCTGGCAAAGGGGCTAGAACCTTGGGGGTAGAGTTAGAGCCTGGAGGCAGGGCTAGAATGTTGAGGGTGAGGCCAGAGCCTTGAGTGGGGAATTGAACCTTGCAGGGTGGGGCTAGAACCTGGGGTGGGGTTAGACCCTGGGGATGGAGCTAGAACCTTGGGGGTGGGATTAGAACTTTGAGGACAGGGCTAGGACCTGGGGGTGGGACTAGAACCTGAGCATGGAGCTGGAGCCTTGGCAGAGCTGGAATCTGGGAGGTGGGCAGGGCTTCGGCAGGGAGAGGCGCCTGACTCCAAGGATGTCTGCTCTCTGCTCGGCTTCCTCACTCCTTGTCTCTCCTTTCTCTGCTGCTCTCTCGGCCCAGGATACCCTGGGAGGCCGATTTGATGCCACTCAGGCCTTTGTTGGTGACATCGCGCAGTTTAACCTGTGGGACCATGCACTGACACCTGCCCAGATCCTGGGCATTGCCAACTGTACTGCGCCGCTGCTGGGCAACGTCCTCCCCTGGGAAGACAAGCTGGTGGAGACCTTCGGGGGTGCCACAAAGGCCACCTTTGATGTCTGCAAGGGGCGGGCCAAGGCATGAGGGCCACCTTGTCCAGGGCCCCTCCCATGCCTGCCACTTTGGGGACCTTAAGGGGGCTGTTTCCCCCGCAGTCTGTCCACCTACTGTCCTTCCCTCCTGCCCACTCCTGCCCATGCCTCTCCTTTACCCTCGCCTGTAACCACTCCTCCAGAATCCCCTGCCCTGCAGTAGGTGTCCTCTCGGTCACCTGGGTGGCGACAAGCATCTCAAGTCCACAGGTGGAGCCTGGGCTGAGTCCTGGCTCTGGCCCTCCTGGTACTACGCAGGAGTGGTCTCCTCCCCACCCTACCCTGCCCTGTCCATCACCCTGATTCCACTGATCCCAACAGCACCCCCATGGGGTTGTTGCAGGATGGCTCCCGTGCTGCAGGCCTGCCCTGTCCCCTCCAGGGCCACAGCAGGCTGTAGAAGGGGATGACAGAGACTTGGGAGATCAGGCCCTCCCTCCTCCACTTTCCCACCAGCTGCCCATCAGGGAGCGCCCCCCCAGCCCCTTCCTCATTGCTTGTGTACGGTGGTTTGAATGTGGGTTCCATGCCCGGTACAGTGCCCTCTCAGTTTCCAGGACACTCCCTTCCCAGCTCCAGCCTGGAGGGCCTGAGGGACTAAGACCCCCCGAAGCCAAAGGGCTGTAGCAAGCCCTGAGTGCCCCGGAAGCTGTGTCCACTGCCACAGTCATCCCTCCTGCTCCATGCCCAGGACAGGTCCGGGACCCATGCAGCCTGAGCTAGGAGAAGCTTCAGGCAGACACAGCAGCACAGGTGGCACCACTGCTGGTGGAGCCACATTACCAAGCCATGTGGCCTCCTGTGAGTGCCTGCCCTCCCAGGCCTCGCTGTCCTCCTGTGCCAGTCATTTGCAAAGCCAGTGTAAGATGACCCACAATCCTAGACAAACGGGCAATCCTAGAGACCCAGGGACTGCAGGGATGGGTTCTGGGGCTGGGCAGCAGAGGGGCTGAGGCTGGGTATGGGTTAGGCCAGCAGCTTCTCCAAGGTCAGTGTCAAGGGCAAGGGTTCAGGTCAAGCAGGCTCACACGTGGTCTAAAAACATCAGTCCTCTCTGGGTCTCCCCTCCCCCACCTGGCATCCAGCCTGACTGGGATTTTGTCTCCAAGGGTAGCTTGGCTCTCTGGTTCCTATCCTTGAGTCTGTCATTACCAGCTCTCCCACAAGAGAAGAATATCAGAGCTGAGAAAAACCACTCTGATCTCTTGCTTTATGGCAGATGGAGAAGAACTCAGAGAGGGCAAGATACTTGCACAGACTCACACAGCAAAAGGGCCAGAACTACAACCCAGAACTTCAGTGTTCTTCCCTCCACTCCACCCTCTGGAACATCCTTTATGAAAACCTGGACACCCTTGGTACCAGGAGGTGAGAGGAGGAGGGTGTGATCCCTGGCACTGTGGCAGAAGGGACAGCTGAGGATGCAGGTTTTCCATCCCCCGCCAGTCCCTCCCAGGCATCTGAGCCGTGACCAGCTACCTGACTCAAGTGGGTACAGTGCCCCTTGCCCCTCTTTCTATTCCCTGCCTTGGACCCCCACAGCCATTCAGCCTGAAATGTGACGCAGGCAGTGGGCCTCAGTGGCTGCCTCCGGCCCCCAGATCCTTGTTTCCAGTTCAAGAGTGCAGGTAGATGGCTCGGCACCTCCGTCCCAACTCCCCCTGGAAGCCAGAGCCATGGCGGCCTCAGCCAGGACCTGCTGAGATTGGGTTGCCCCGGTAACAGCCAATGACATCAGCCCAAGTGCTGGGTCAAGAGTCTCATCACCATGACACACGCTATTGCTCGGATGGGCAAAATTCGGCACTTAGATTTTGGGGACATTGATCTTGATGAGCTTTTGCAGTTGTTTTGGAAGAAGTAGCTTTCATGGAGGCTTGGGAGGATGGGACTTAGGAGGGAGGTGACAGAACCTGCTTGGTCACTTGAGCCCATCCAGACTTGGGTGTCATCACAAATCCATTCTGCTGTGTCACGGCGATGATGAGACCTCTGACGTCTGAGCCTCGTCCCCATGCCAAGTCACCCTGGTCAGCCCTCAGGAGGGAATGCAACAAATTGGGGGTGTCGGGATGTGGATCCCTGGGGAAGGGCCTGGCTCCCCGTTTCCATACGGCCTGCCCCTCCCAAGCTGTGGGTTGTTCTAGGTACAGTCACCAAGCCCCTGCTGTTTGGAGCCAGGTTTGGGGAACTTCTGCTGTTCCCGGGGAGCCAGAAGGAAGAAGCACAGGGAGAGCTGGGCTTAGCACGTGGGTGCGTCCCTGAGCTGCCCCTGGCTCTAAGAAGGGCAGGGGTCCTGCTTGTCAGGTCCTGCTTAGGTGGCTGACGCTTCACAGGACGCCTGGTTTACCCCAGCGCAGCTATACATCAGGACTGTGGTTAGCCCCAAGATACAGGGGACGAGGCTGCGGCTCCCAGAGGTAAAGCCACCTGCCCGGTGATAGGAGGCAGCCTGAGGGGTGTGCAGGTGTCACCCAGAGCTGGTCCAGCTCTTCATCCCCACCCCAGCCCCAGGGGACAAGTGCTAACCCTGCAGAGTGGGATTTGGTGCACTGCTCCTGATGTATTTCAGGAGCGTTCAGAGTAACAGAGGAACGTAGGTGCAGGAGGGGTGGGCCCCAGGGCCAGGGACCCTTTAGAGAGCCATTGGATGAGTCTCCATCTCCCTGGAAACGTGTCACGTGTCCCACCTGCCCACGTGTGGGCTCAGCCTCAGCCTTCTCTAAGGGGCTGCCGTGTCCAGGAGAGCTGGAGAGAGGCAGGATGTCCCCTGGAGTCCCAGGCAGGGACAGGGGGGCTTCTGCTCCTCAGGCAGGTGCTTCACAGCTGTTCTCTGCCAGATTTTCTCACTTTGTGGCATGCGATGCCCCCCACCTCCAAAGTCCCAAGGGGGTGATCCCCCCTGCCACAGTTCTGCATAGTCTAAGACCACAGATTTAAGCAGGACATCTCCTCTTAGAGGATGCACACTCCCGCGCTTTGCAGGCAGCTGAGGCCTAAAGCGGATTCGTGAGGTCACCCCACTGAAATCTGGCAGCCCTGAGCCCAGCCCTCTGATCTTAAATGACAGTAACCCCCACCCCCAAGAATCGGGTCCCTCCCACGTGTGCCAGAGGCGGGAGCCCTCTTCACCCCTTTATTCCAGCTGCCTGCCACTCCAGATCCCACCTCCCTCCCCGCCCCCTGAGCTTGCTAGGTGGGGAAGGGGCTCTCATTCCAGGCTGAGCAGCCAGCGCATGTCAAGTCACCGCCGCTGGACATTTGTGAAATCAGTGCCCCGCCCCGAACCTCCCTGGCCGCCCCTCCCCCCTCCTCTTTTGTACATAACGTGACATGAGATGCAACGTGTGTGTACGTGTGTGTGAGTGTGTGTGGCCTATGTCATGGTTTTTGTTACCTTTTTGTTTTTGTAAATTTGAGTGTTCAAAATAAACATGCAGTTTACTCAAAGGCTCTTTCTTAGCGGGGAGAGGGAACTTAAGTGGACCCAACAGGGCAGCACCTGTGTGCCCCAAAGCCTCCTCCACCCCACGTAGGCCTCCCACCCTGCCCACTTCTGCCAGATCCCAGGCTCAGACGTACGCAGGTGGCAAGGAACACAAGTCCCACATGGAAAGTGGCCCAGTTCTGATAACTGGCCTCATTCCGAACACCCCTTTCCCACCTTGTGGCCCAGTTCTGGGATCTGGGTCCCTCCCTTGTTCCTAGGACCCAATCTATCAGAATCGCTTGCCTGGCCCCCCAGAGTGTTGCACTCCGTGGGATCCTGGAGAAATGGGGTGGGGAGAAGGAGGGACCCAGTATTTTAACCCCCACCTACGGTCTGGACCCACACGCACCAGCAACGGGGTCCACCACCCCACCCAGCTGTCTAGCACCCTCCCCGTCCCCTCAGGGGCTCCGTCTAGCCGTCTAGTCCCTGGGCCTCCCTGCCTACTTAGAGACACTTCCCCAGTACTCTCAGTGTGCTTGGCCAGGCCTTGTCCTCCAATGGCCTCTGTGAAAAGTTAGAGAGCCAGGCAGGGGCCAGCAGGCCACACCAGCACGACAGAGTTCCTCACCCTTTTCCCAAGCTTCCAACAAGAGCGGATTCATCCCTGGAGGACCAGGAGGTAGCAGAAAGGGGTCCATCCAACAGAAAAGCCCCATTTGAAGTGTGCTAAGGTACCTGGAAAATCCATGTGCTTTTTTGGTCCTACTCCAGAATGAATCCAGATTTGTTTTAAAATTAAAATGTTTTTAATGACTTCCCACTGAGACACACCTTGCACACTGAGCAGTAGGCAGGCGCGCCTTGTTTATCCTCTCCTGCATGGGTTTACTTGCCAACAGCTTCTCTCCCTCTGTCCCATGGAGCTGGCGACAGCCAGCCCTGGAGAAATCCTGCCTCCACCTGCACCGTTCCAGCACCCGGTGATCGCAGGCGAGAAAGCACAGGGTTGTGACGCAGCTGACTCTCATCTGAAACTCATAGCCTACGAGCGCCGAGACTTGGTTCTGCCAGCTCTGCCATCTTCATGCACCTCCCTTGTTGGCAGCCTTGTTCCCCAGATGCCCTCCGCCCCCAGCTTTGCATACACAAGGGTGACCCTCCTGCCTCCTAGTTCTTTCCTTTTTTTCTTCCTTTCTCCCTGCATCCTCCAGGACCATCTCACTGAGCAACATCTCAAGGCTTTTTCTGAGATAGGAGATTGCTAAGTTGACCAGCCTGGGGTCAAATCTGTGATCCTCCTGCCTCAGCCTCCTAGAGTGCTGGGATTGCAGATGCGCACCACCATGCCAGCTCTCCTAGTTCACTGTCGCCTCAGCGAGTCTGCCCATGAACCTTCACTGCCCCACATGTTTGGCTTCCTCCTGTCACCTTGAATGAACAGTCCCTGCCCCTTTCACTTGGACAATGCCTCCAGAGTGACCAACCCCTCTTCCTGTTCCTCGTTATTCCAGGGTAACTAGGTTTGCCCACCTGTGTGTCTCCTCCTCACAGCCCCTGCGGGAGGACGGACGTACCCATCTCTCTCCCCCAGGTCTTTGCTCCTTTCTGTGCAAAACTTCTTCAGAAGCCATTGCGCTATGGTCTGCAGGACCACGCTCAGGTTCGAGGATTCCTAGAAGGACCCGAAGAACTCAGAGGAGCTGTTAAACTCAGTTCCAGTTTGTTTCACCAAAGGGCACAGATGAAAATCCACCATGGGGAAGGAGGCGCAGGGTGGAGGCCAGGGGAGACCGGGAGCAAGCGGGTTCAGCCGCCCTCTGCTAGACTCCCAGGGACAGCGCTGATCGCTGCTCGCAGCACTGATCGGCGGCACAGAGACGAGAATGTCACCAGGAGGCTCCCGGCGCTGTGGCGGCCAGGGCTTGCACCGGGGTCTATCCTGCAGCCACAGAGCGCCCACCTGATTCCTCAGTCTTCAGCCCCTGTGCCAGAGTCAAAGGGACACAGTGACCCCGGGCAAGCAAAAACAGGCATTTGCCATTAATGACTTTCCCGGCATGAACCACCTGGGGTGGCCCAAGCTAACAAGGACACCGTCATCAGGCATGAGGCCTGAAGGCTAAGGGGACACCTCCCAGATGCTGGCCGAGGCCCCGTCCTCACTGTGGCCTGTGCAGGGCTTGAGCGGCCCAAGCCTGCTGTGTTAAGCCCACACTGCATGCAGGGTCCTTCATCTCTGTTGCTTTTTTCACTCCCACCTGGGCCAGGCTCCTCCACCTGCTCCTTCCACCCCACCAGGGCCCTCGTGTCCAGGCCAAGAAGGACCTCCAAGTCACAAAATCCAGGGTCAGGCAGTGCTGATTGCTGGGCCCACCCCTAGAGTGCCTAAGGCAACAGGTCTGGTGCAGGACCTGACCTTCTTCACCTCTATAAGTGCTGGGGTGCTGGGACTACCGGTCCTTCGCCACACTTTGAGAACTACTTCACCATCTCTGTCTTGAGTTCCCCCTGGTCCCTCCTCATCCCTGACCTCTAAATGTTGCATCCCCTGAGGGCGCAGCCTCAGGCTCCTAATTCTCCCACCACTCTGTTCCTCCCCTGGCCCATGACTTTAACTGTCATCTGACAACTTTCTTTTTTTTTTTTTGGTTTTTCTCTGGTACCGGGAACCGAACTCACGACCTTGCGCTTGCTAGGCAGGCGCTTTTGCCGCTGAGCTAAATCCCCAGCCCCTCATCTGACAACTTTCAAAACTAGGACTCTTGTAGTGTCAGGGTACACACCTGCTATCCCAGTCCTCTGGGAGGCTGAGGCAAGAAGGTTGCAAGTGCGAGCCCAGCCTTGGCAACTTAGCAAGACCCTGTTTCAAAAGTTAAAAA